ATACATAATTATTATATTGTTGTTGTTTTTATTCTGGCTTCAGTAATTTCCTAATTTCCTGCTCTACTAGTTTGGTCATGTGCTCTCTTTCTAGAGCTGTGTTCGATACATCGATACGACTATGTATCGTCACAGAGATTTGATGATACGATTATCGATACAGCTGTCTCTGTATCGATAATATGGCACGTGTGCAGCAGTGGACCGCATTTGAACACAAGAACATCGTTTAAAACAGAGTAGAAAAGTGCGAGGTTTCTAAAAAATAATGAATAGAGCATAATATATATAGGCTACAACAAGGTTTAATTTGTACCGCAGAGGAACACAACCGGGGTTGCCTGATACAAAGAGACGTAATCCCCGAAACAGAGCTCCCCACTTGCGCAATATGGAAATATAGGGCCTACTAAATGTGTTGTTTTTGTCAACCTGGCAACCATGTGCACGCGCTCTCTCTCCACTGTGGATAAACGCGCTTGCTTTCCGAAAACACCGGTTAGCTTGCAGTTTAGCGATCTCCACTTCAATATTCTATTATCAGAAAAGTGTAATTCATCAAGTGTTCACTTACGAGAGAGAGAGAGAGAGAGAGAGAGAGAGAGAGGATGTGTATGTATGAATTACACAGTGGCTTTAATTGCTTTAGAAACGACGATGTTACCAGCTTCTTGTTGAGAAAGATAATGTAGCTCTTCAGCGATTAAGCTATTTTATGGATAAAATTGCGGGGCAGCGCTAAAAAGTTTGTCTAAACGCAAAAAAATTATGTCTGTGAGCGCGCGCAGCGTGAGTGACTAAACGTGTGTGCGTGAGGTACAGTGAAGACAGCGCATTAGTTTAGAACTCTTCTAATTTTTATTTTTTAAACGTAGAGAATGTGTTAATTTGTGCAATTATAACCTACCAGCAATGTAAATATGATTTTTTTATATATTAGAATGAGTATATTACAATATAAATTTATTAGAACGAGTACATTATTATTTATGGGCTTAAAAACAAGATGCAAACAATCAGAATATTG